CCCGCCCCCCGACACACACACCCCCTCGATGTCTAACAGGATCCGTGTCAGCAAAGGTTTAATTAACAGCTAGTGTTCTTTGGGAGAAATGCAGGCACAGCAAATAGTGCAGCAGATGTAAGACCAGGGCTGGGTCAGAGAGTAGAGACTTTGACCACCAGAATGGGGACAATAGACGGTGGGTGACCACATGGAGAGACCCGAGGGCTCTGCCGCAGACTTGCGGGCTAGGAGAAGATCTGGAGACCCAGCCTAGTAAAGAGGGTCACCCCCACCAGTGCTGCCCTGGCAGAAGTCACTCCTGTCCCGCCCTGCTGACCCCATGGGTCCATGGCTTGGATGCGGCTCTGCCATCTCCTGCTTGGCGCTGCAGGGCCTCAGGGTGCAGATGTCCCAGGCTCCAGGTCTGATTTTGGTGGGTGCCCCAGACTCAGCTCTTGGCTTCCTCCCCAGGACTCATAACCCCAGGTCCATCTCAGGGCAGAACCCCATTGCGTCTCCCCCACATCTCCCAACAGACTGAGCGCACGAAGCAGGGAAGGAAGAGCAGGAGGGCAGACGGGCCTGTATGGGACTTTCTCACACTGTCAACCTGACATTGACCCTGGGCTGTCGGAAGAGCTGTGGTCTCAGCCTATCCTTCCGCCTACCGCACAGTCTGGCAAGCCCCAACCCTGCCTGGGAAACTTTTCAGGGCCAATCTGGGGGAACCACTGAGGGCAAAGGACTCCAGGTGAGCAGCCTCTTGCCAAAAGGATGGACAGACAGTGCCCACACCTCTAAGAGAAGGAGGGAAATTCAGGGAAGCCCAACTAATGACTCAGGATGTGTGGTCACAGGGCCAGATGTAAGGAGACATTCTAGGGAGGGAAGTGGTGGGAGTGGAAGGACAGATTGTTCCAAGATTTATCCAAATGCTCCTGCTGAATCAGGACTGGCAAAACACATCCTGGGGCTCCCAGTCACCCCCACACACATCCTGGGCCCCACCCACCCCTGAGGGGAGGCTCCATCGCCCTGGACCCCCAGGCCTCGCGTCTGTGCCTGCTGCTCTTCCTGGTGTCAGCAGGGGATGGAGCCCACACTGGGAAACAGTGATTGAGTTCTAGCTTTGGTGCTAGCACCATCTGCTGAATGGCCACCACCAGGTCTTGGGTCCCTCTGCTAAAAATTAATCTTTTGCTGTAGAGCACACACAGATGGCAGCCAGGGGGCAGTCGAAGTTTCCTGTGTTGCACCCCGATGCCCAGCCCTTGACAAATCAGATTCCACTCAATGCACAACAATCCAGGCCAGAGGCTATTTTCTCTTTTAACAGAAGAGATAAGCAAGGCTCAGGAAGGCTGAGGAACTTGCAGGTCACGTGACTAGTTTCATGGGTCCAGGATTCAAGCCCAAAGGCTGCGCACTTAAGAGCAGGTGCAGCAAGGTGCTCGGGAGGGGCAGCACCCTCCAATAAGGCAGCGGAGGAAGAATGCTTCAGCCCCCACCAGAACCTTGTGACTTCCAGTATGGTCCCTGCTGTCACTTGCAGTAACCTGGAAAGTTACTGGGAAACTGCAGCACATTCAGGAAGGGCCCTCTCTCCTGATCCCCGTGCTCCAGCTCTCTAGCCCATGGAGTACTATTTGGTTGTCAAAAGCCTCTCCAGCCCTCCGCATCATGAGAGGATGATGGATCGTCTAACTGCTGGAGCAGAAGCAGCTGGTCTCCACCAACTCCTCAGGTTCCACTCCTTCCCTGGCCACACCCTCTTCGAAGGAAACCGCCAAATTGGAGAGTGGCTCAGGGAGTCATGGGGCTAAGAAGGGATCTGGAAATCTTACCACAGGAGCGTGTGGAAGCATCACAGATGCATAGCCAAGAGAAGGAGCCGACTGGGGGGACTAAGACGGGGCCCTGACTTTGCCTTCCCAATTCTGAGGCACTGTCTTGGGGCAGACAGAGTCTCTGTGGCCCCCAGAAAGCACAGCCAGGCCTTGGGGGAAGCAACAGGAAGGTAAGCTCAGCTCAGCCCCAAGAAGGACATGTTAATAGCGCTACCCAGAGTCACTACAGACTGCCAGGCAGAGGGAGATGAGGGAGGGGGCCCTGGTATCAGGAGCTCTCCAAGCCACAACCTGGCACCTGTTCGTTGGGAGGGACTCTAGAGTCGAAGGGCAGTAGGGTCTCCACCAGGCTCCAGTTGGCCCTGTGGCTCCCAAATCTGGAGCCCAGTGGGAGAGGCAGGAGGGTCTGAACTGGCTACTCACGGTCGGTAACGGGCTCAACACGCAGAGGACGTGGGCCCCCCACATCCGGCGGTCCATAGTGAGCCCAGCAGCGGCTCCCTCCATCAGCCTCAGTAAGCCTTGGGTGTCTTCCCTCCCTTGCTGTCCCCTGACACAGCCGCTGCCACCGCACCCTCTGCTTCCCTTTCTCAGGTGGCTGTTTGCATAGGCAGGAGCTAGCCAAGGGGACACAGCCCGCTGAATATTCACCAGGATTGCAGGACACCTGCTCAGTTCAGCCCTGACCCTGAGGTGGGACTCTGTTTCCAGCAGGCAGGGGCTGAGCCCTGCCCTCACCACCTTCTACTCTGGCTATAAGTCTGCTCGTGTGTCTGTCCTGATAGCAAAGGCCCAGAGAGGTGACAGTCACAGGTCACTTGGTCAATATTCTCTACTACTTTCTTCTCTAGGCCCAGGTATCTGGTGGTCATCGCTGGAGTGACCTCTCAGATTGATGGGATCTTACAGAATAGGAAGGAGACCTGGGCCTGCCCTTGGGAAGCCCCCAGGTTGTTTGGTGTGTGCTCCTAGCCTTATCCACAGGGCTGGAGAGTGGTCAGAGCTGTGTGGACCTGGTGGGGAAGGGGAAGGGGATGGTATCAGTGGAGATGGAGGGTTGGAATGGTCTTAAGAAAGGACATGTGATCTCTAGGCACTGGCATGGACTGGCCAGGAATGTGTCAGCAAGATCTGGGTCCTTTACCAGGCAAGGACTCTGGCCTGGATGGTGAGCTGAAGCTGCCAGTGTCAAGGCTCTGGACTTCACATGGGGGCTTGTCAAAATCTCTCCAAAACTCTCATGGCAAGAGGGGAAAACGAGGTTGGATGGAAGCCTTGTGAGAGGATTCGTGGGTCAGGTCATCTTGAATAGGGGAGGACAACTGTCATCAGTAGCACAAATGAGAAGGCTTACACAGCCACTCAAACTATGTTGAACATTCATTGTCTGGTCACTTATATTACAGTTTTCGACTTTAAAATGCAGGGTCTCCATGGACCAGGCTAAAGACAGCGTTCTAAATGCCCCTAGATCTTGCACAGCATTTTGAAATGTCAAAGATGTCACCTCTGAAAGACCTGAATGTCCCAGTAGCCGACAGGTCCTGATGTTTGTGTGCACGTCTCCACTCACAGAAGCTGCTGGGCGGGGTGCTAAAACACCAGACATGTTTACAACCCGATCGCATCATGAATGTTGAAGGCTCCTCGCCCCCGCTACATCTGGATTTAGGGCTTGTTTTGACATCAGCAGGGGTTTATTTTTCCATTTTTCTTCATTGTCAACAAAATGCTGAAGAAAAATATTTCAAAAAGAAAACATGAACTACCCGAAGCTCCAAAACTCTCCTACCCTGTGCAAGTGTTTTCACGAGCTTAACTGTGGAAAGGGTGCAAGCAGCATGCCACACAGAGCTCTGCACACTTTTACACTTTTAGGGGAGAGCAGAGCTCCTCTCTTGGCAGGCTGAGCGCTCACAGATTGGAAAAGCAGAGTGCTGAAAAGGTATAACTTGAAGGGAAAGCTAGAACTTTCTGTTATTCAGCTACAAAGAAGCAACAGCACCTGGAAAAAAAAAATCTTACGATTAATCACTGTTGATAATTAGCATCAACATCATTAGCATTAATGATGGCTAATTATTGAGGTTGATAGTGATAATTAATAATAGTTATTACTATCTAAACAAGTGGTTCCTAACCTGGAGCAATTTTGCTTCCCTAGGGGACATTTGGCAATGTCTGGAGACATTTTTTATTATCAAAATAAAAACTAGGAGTTGGGGTGGGGGGTGGGGTAGTGAAGTGCTCCTGGTATCTAATGAGTATAGACCAGGGATGCTATTACGCATCTATAATGCACAGGATGCTCCCACCTTCGACCATATCAAGAACTATCCAGTCCTAAAGATCAATAAGACCAAGGCTGAGAAACCCTCCTCTAACTGTTCATGTTCCCCAAGGATCCCTGCAGGCCTGTTTCTTCATGGAGCTGTCTTCTCTAGCTAATTCTGTATACACTCAGGATTCAAATTCCGCCTCCATCACTTGCTAGCTGTCACACATTTGGCAAGTTAGTTAGCCTTTCTGAGCCTCTGTGTTGGTCCATTTGTATCACCATAAAGGAATACCCAAGGCTTGGTATCATATTTTTAAAAAGAGGTTTATTTTGGCTCACAGTTCTGCAGACTGTACAGGAAGCATGGCACTGGCATCTGCTTCTGGTGAGGGCCTCAAGAAGCTTCCACTCATGGTGGAAGGTGAAGGGGGAACCCCTGGTGTATCACATGGTGAGAGAGGGAGCAAGAGAGCAAGGGAGATGTCAGGCTCTTTCAACTACTAACTCTTGCATGAACTAACAGAGCGAGAACTCACTCATTACCATGGGGAGGGCACCAAGCCATTCATGAGGGATCCACCCCCATGACCCAAACACTTCCCACCAGGCCCCACCTCCAACAATGCAGGTCTACTTCAACATAAGATTTGGAGAGAACAAAACATCCATACCATATGAGCCTCCGTTTTCCCATCTGAAAAATGGGGATGATACTAACACCTTTATAGGATTGGTGGGATACGTGGACAAGGAAAACCGTGTACTGTAAAGAACCTCATGCAGAACCTAGATCACAGTGGACAATCATTTATGACAGCATGTAACACAGGTGGACTAACAGCAAAGAAGACTGGAAAAACTGATTCTTCGTATGAAAAAATAAGATTAGATCTCTAACTCACCTTTACAAAATATAAATTCTAGGTTAAAAATCCTAACTACAAAACAACAAAATCATAAAAATGCTTCAAAAAATAGAAATTTATTTTTATGGCCTTAGAATAAAGGAGATTGTCATATAAAATAAAAATCATAAAGAAAAAAATCAAGTGTGACCACATCAACATTTTTAAATGTATGTTCAAGAGAGGATGCCATAGATGAAAATTAAAAGCATTTTTCTGCTACAAATTGAAAGAAATGTTTGCAACCAATCTTGACAAACAAATCTGTAGTATCAAAAATATATTTTAAAAATATCTAAAAATCAGCCGGGCCTGGTGGCTCGCGCCAGTAATCCCAGCACTTTGGGACCAAGGCAGGCGGATCATGAGGTCAGGAGTTTGAGACCAGCCTGGCCAATATGGTGAAACCTCATCTCTACTAAAAATACATAAATTAGCTGGGCATGGTGGCACGCACCCACAGTCCCAGCTACTCGGGAGGCCGAGGCAGGGGAATCCCTTGAACCTGGGAGGTAGAGGTTGCTGGGAACCAAGATCGTGCCACTGCACTCCAGCCTGGGCAACAAAGCAAGACTGTGTCGCAAAAAAAAAAAAAAAAGAAAAAAAAAGAAAAGAAAGAAAAAAATCAGTAAGAAAGATAAAAATTAAAAATAACTGAGTAGAAAAGTGAGCAAATGATATAAAGAGACAATTCAGAAAAGAAGTGACGTATACAGGTCAATAAACACATGAAGAAATGTTTAACATTACTAATACTAAAGAATATGAAAAAAAATAATGATAAACTACCCATTGTCACCTATCACGTTGCCTAAAACTTTACCGTCTGATAACACAGTGTCTGGAAGATAATGTAAAGAAAGGGGAACATCCATAAAGTTCAGATGAGAGCGAATTTTGTATAACCACTTTGAAAAACAATTTGATATTATCTATTGAATTTGAGAATGAACATATCCTATAAGCCAGAAATTCCATTTCTGGATATTTGCGTTCTGAGTTCAGTGTTGTTTATAACATGCAGTAAAAACCAGAAAACAACACAATTGTCCAATGAGAAAAGAATAGCTAAACAAAATGTGATCTATTCATACAATGGAATACTACTGAGGAGTTGAAAGGTATGAACTAAATCTGTTTGTACAAGAGGAGTTCACAAAGTTCATGGAAATATGGAATTAAAAAATAAAAAATATAAACTCTATTTCTCAACATAATCTTTCAAGACACTTTTGTAAGCAATGATACCAGCCATGTAGTTCATCCCTAAAACACTGAGAGTCCTGGGAATTTAGCCACGTCAATGCAGTCTTTTTTACAATATTACCTAAAGAAAAATGGGTGCCCTTAAAATATTTTTTAAGATTAGAAAACAAAAAGACGTCATGAAAGCCAAATCATGACTGTGAGGTAGATGTGTAATGGTTTCCTATCAAAACTCTCGCAAAACTGGCCTTGTTTGATCAGAGGAATGAACAGGAGTATTGTGGTGGTGGAGAAGGATTCTCTAGAGAAGGTTTCCTGGGCATTTTTCTGCTAAAGCTTTGGCTATCTCAAAACATTTTCATAACAAGCAGATGTTATTATTCTTTGGCTCCCCAGAAAGTCAACCTGCAAAATACCTTGAGCATCCCCAAAACTGTTTTCATCATGGATTTTGCACTTGACCGATCTGCTTTTGCTTTGACAGGACCACTTCTACCTCTTTGTAGCTATTGCTTTGATCGTGCTTTGTCTTCAAGACTGTACTGGCAAAGCTATCCTTCATCTTCTCTTACAAAACTTTGAAGAAATGTTTTGGGATCTTGACCTGCTTGTTTAAAATTTCTGCTGAAATCTCTACTCTTGTCTCCAGTTGATCTGGGTGCAATGCTTTTGGCAACCATCAGTTGGGAAGCTTGCCCAACTTTAATTTTTCAGCTGGAATTGCGTAGAGTGAACTGATTGAGATGTCTATGGTATTGGCTATGGTTTCTGCCATTAATCATCAGTCCTCTTCAATTAGGGAATGAATAAAATTAATTCTTTTCCTCACAAATTGATGTGGATGGTCTGCTGCTACAGGCTTTATCTTTAACATCATCTCATTCTTTCTTAAAAGGAATTATCCACTTGTAAACTGCTAATTTATTTGGGGCATTGTCTCCCTAAATTTTTCATAAAGTATCAATTATTTCACCATTCTTCCACACAAGCTTCATCATAATTTGATATCAGTTCCTGCCACAATTAAAGCAGAATTTATTTTGCTCTGAAAACAGCTTTTTTTTTTCTTTTTTTTTCTGAGATGGAGTCTCACTCTATCACCCAGGCTGGAGTGCAGTGATGCACTCTTGGTTC